TGGTGATGACTTTAGGCACAACACCAAAGCCCTAATACATAAAAGAAAAACTTGATAAACTGGACATTATGAAAATCAAAGATTTCTGCTCTGTGAGAGATATCGCCAGGAGAATGAAACAACAAGCCACAGACTGGGAGAAAATATTTGCAAATGCACTGATACTCAAAATAAACAACTCTTAAAACTCAACGGTAAGAAAATAACCCAATTTTTTTTTAGTGGACCAATAGCCTTAAAGGACACCACAACAAAAATATGAGAAGGTGCTGCAATCCTTTGTCAAATTAAAAGCAAATTAAAACAAATTAAAATGATGAGCTAGCTCCACAAGCCTAATAGACTGGCCACAATCTAGAACTAGAGAACTCCAAATGCTGACGAGAATATAGAACAACATCAACTCTGCTCATTACAGATGGGAATGCAAAAGGTACAGCCACTTTGGAAGACAGTGTGGCAGGTTCTTACCAAACTGCACATGCACTTGCCATATGACCCAGCAGTCACACACCTTGGTGTTCATTCAAAGGAGTTGAAGACTTATATGCACAAAAAACCTGCACATGGATATGTGTGGCCCCATTATTCATATTTGCCCAAACTTGGAAGCAGCTGAAATCTCCTTCAGGAGATGAGTGGGTAAAGGAAGTGGGTCCAGGAAGGCAGTGACTCAGCGCTAAGAAGAAATGAGCTCTTAAGCCACGGAGAAAACATAGAGGCTTATTATATTTTATAATATGCCTATTATATTTTATGTTATAATATGTCTATTATATAGGCTATTATATTTTCTTATTCAGAAAGTCAAAACTACATTTTTAAAATGAAGAGGACCTCTCTGGTGGTGCAAGGGGTTAATACACAACCTATGAAGCTATCCCGCAGCTCTATTTCTAGGAGAAAGAAACCAATGTGAAAAGGTGACACACTGTATGATTCCAACTAGGTTACCTTCTGGAAAAGGCAAAGATCTGGAGAAGCTGAGAAATGGGTGTGGAGGGAGGTGTGAGCAGTGGGGTGCATTTAAGGCAGTGATGATGTTCTCGATGATGCTGTGATGATGGGCCCACACCATTATACATTCGTTAACCCTGCAAACTACAAGAGCAATAGTGACCCCTCGCCCAAACTATGGACTTGGGTAATAACGATGGTCGGCGTAGCTTATCAACTAACACAAACTTATCACTCCAGTGGGGGTGTTGATAATGGGGGACATCATGCTTGTAGAAGACAGGGATCTAGTGGGAAATCGCTCTTAGTTGGTTGTGAACCCACAACTGCACTAAAAGTAAAGTCTATGTTAAGAAAACATTGTTTATAAAGTGGAGGGAAAGAAAATCCCTATACAGTTTATAGGTATAAATGTACCTATTTATATGAATGTATATATATGACTATTTATGAATATATAAAAATAAATCCCTATTCAATGTCTAAATATATATATACTTATTTATATGTATATGTGCATAAATTCCTATACATTGTCTAGATACACATATACCTATTTATATGAATATATATGTGACTATATGAATATATATAAGTAAATTCCTGTACATTGTCTAATTTCCCCCAAATACTGACAATGGTTAGTAGAGATGTTTAGATTACAGGTGCATGGAGAGAAGTGTAAAGGGAAACCAAAACAAAGAGAACATGAGTGCTAACCTATGTTTTCCGAATTATATTTTCTTATTCAGAACGACAAAACTGCTTTTTTAAAGTGAAGAGGCTCTCTTTCACCAGAGCACTATGAATGTATCCACAGCCTCTGCAACACGAGTTCGATCCCCGGCCAGGGAGATACCCACACGGCGCAGCAGACCTCTCCTGACTCGCCCGCTGCTCCCCTCAGCAGTGTATTTCAGTCCATCTGCCTGTTCTGCTCCCCACTCTGTTTCTGGTGAATCCTCTCACCTCCCCACACCTCTGGCCTGTACCCCAGCTCTTGTATGCATAAATAAAATAAATCTAAAAAAATAAAATGAATACTCTTTTTAAATGATTTAAGACATAATTGTGATAACTGTTTTCTAAAGTCTATGAAAGTTTATTATTTTTAGTGTTGTCCCATCAAACTAAAGGAAAGACTGAACTGCCTTCTCCGGATGCCGCGGGGGCGCAGGGGGCTTGGGGACTAACACTGGGGAGGACGAGCCGGCCGAGTCTTGAGCTTTCTCTCATTACTGATGGAGGGACAGATGGAGCCGGGGTGCGGCGGGAGGCCATGGACGGTCACAAATGGCGAGGAACAGCGGCTGACTGGGCAAAACTGTTAAAAGACTTTGCAAAAGACCTGTTGCCCTGGATGGCCGACGCGGGGCAGCCCTTAGCATTCCCGCGTCCACACGCAATTATTCCCAGGGAGCAGACTGAGAGGAAGGAGAAAGGAGAGAAGAGGAAGGAGGATCAAAAGACGCCGTAAGGAGCCTGCAGACACTCCTTAAAGGAGCAACTGGAGAGAAGGGAAGTGTAAAGGGAAAACCCAAACAAAGAGAACACGCGCTTCATTTTTAGCCGCAGCCGCTGGGCAGACATCCACCATCTCTGCTCTTTCTCTGCTCATGAAAAATGGTAAGTTGCTCTGTGGGTGTTGACTAGACTCTAATTGTTTTTATGGCAAATGGGGCATGAAACCTATTGTCAAAAAACACGCTGGCCACCGCGGAGAGCCTCTTGGTCACCCCAGCCGGTTCTCGGGTGAGTGCGTCTGCGGGGTTGGGAGGCCCAAGGTGCCAGGCCCTGGCATTTCTCAGGGCCCACTGCGGGACACAAGCCTCCCTTGCCTTGTCTAACTGCCCTCTGGGGCAAGGCGTCCAGGGGCGACAGGGAGGCGCAGGGGGTATTAGGGTCCCCTGGGTAAAGCCGCGGTTGTGTCGCTGAACATTAGCTACACCTCTGGATTATGATAAGAACCCTGTTGCTGACAAACTCCTAGGAGTCATTCTGCTAATTACTAGATCTCATGATTTAGGCCAATTTACCAGAAATGAATCGAAGAACCCTCAGGGCAGCCTGCGGAGGGTGGCAAATTTATTGCATTACACTTACTGGCGGGAATATATCCTGCGCTCAGACGTTGTGAGGGGCATTTTGCACTCAGGCAGGTCGTTGTCACCGCTGTGGGCGGGAACCGTGGTCTGTCTTGGTCACTGCCTCGGTGAACAGAGCATATACTGCCATATGAATGTTTGGGTGAAATACGCAGGTTCTATTCCATCCATCTTCACCAAACTTCAGGCCTCTCGAATTTAATTCCTATCTCTTCAAAGCACACAGGACTCCCATCCGGTGTGTTCAGACCCTGCCCTGAGGAGCGGCTCCAGCGTCAGGAGGGTCGAGGGTGGGTCCGGGGTCACAGAGGGCCTTGAGCTTCGGCACCCCAGACCGGGAAGCTGCAGTCGGGCAGCAACCACCGTCTTCTGGGTAATCTCCTGGCAGCACTGTATCTGGGGCCTGACACTGAATTCTTTAGACTTGAATTAGAAAAGGCACTTCTTTGATAGATTTCTTCTTGTTCCAGTTTACAGGCAACTAATCCTCGCTGCATTGGATCAAACGGACGGGTACAATCAATTCAGGGAAAGCAAGCAATGCCAGCTCTGCTCAATCTCCCCTCAACAAGCAGCGGAGGAGAAGGTGGGAGGCAGGAAGGACAGAGGGAATGCCGGCCCGCCTGCACCCAGGGCAGCTCAGCACAGGGAAGGAGGGAGGGACAAGGTGAAGTATATATCCTGGCAGGTGGAAGTGCTTGCTGTCAGAGGAGAGGCTGAAGCCCCACAGGAAGCCAAACACGCCAAGGCTCTGGGCCGAGGGCGTCAAAGGCACGGGGCAGGTGGCGGTGGTTGTGGTGTCAAAACAAAAGAAATCGGCGCAGCTTCTCCAGGGAGGAGAGAGGTCTGGATTTACTTAAGTCTCCACAGCCTATGATCTATCACACAGTGTGATGAGCAAGTTAATTACTGCATTTAGGTAATTAAGTCACGGAGAAACCGGTGCCTTCCAAAGCAGTATTAATTTCTACTGCCAGATCGTTCTAGGCTTCAATGGCCATTTGGTGAAAAATCACACACTGGAACAGCAGCCCAACCAGGGCAGGCGGAAAATTAATGAAAATGCGCTAGAAATAAGATGGCTCCGGGATGTATGGCTTTCTCTCGCCTGAGACAGGAAGTGCATGTGAGATGCGTCCTCAGTTACCAGCAGGCACTTCCTCCCCCAACAGCTCGAGCCACCCACCAGCCCTTCACGCGAAGTGTGGGTGGGGGACTCAGCCTCCAAGAGCTCTGATGTGCCTCAGCCCTCTCTCCCCTCATCATACGGCCATTCTATCTTTCCTTCTTGCCGCCTGGGTCTGTTCTGTCCAAGTTCAAGACACCTGTCTACAGAAAAGGGCACGAGAAGGACTCATTTGGGTAAAGACTCTCCCTGTTGACTCCTTAACGACCCTCCTGTCCCTTAGGGATCAGAATTCTCCCCTCACGGCTGTGAGCCACCGATCATCTTCCGGTGGTTTCTTCTTCTCATCTGCTAAGAAGGGACTTTGCTGCTTAAGAACAGGGAGATTAAACCTTTTCTGCCCCAGGTCCTGGATGTTGGTAGTGACATGGCTTATTTTGCTGAGCAATGGCTCCAAGATGATACTTCTACACACGTAAACACACAGTTGGTAGACACCAGGGTATTTGCACACTTACCTGGGTAGCTTAGCTGCATCTTCTATGCTGGAAGCACCTTTTATTAGTAATCATGTTTATAAATACATGTAGCTTTATATTTGCTGTTATGTGTACAAGGCGGCGGCTCCGTAGTTACAACTACGATGCCCCAGTGTAGCCCCAGCAGAGCCTTAGTGTTCCACCCTCTTTGGACAACTCCCCCATAGCTTCTTTCTCAAAGACCCCTCACATCTGCTTGACTTTCTCTCCAAGATATTTTTCACTGGGAACACACAGGCCCAAATGTTCTCCCTCGCCGTGCCAGCATCTTACCGTTGCAGGTGGTAGTCCAGAGCCTCTTTCTCGGCGTCCAGCAGGGTGGCCGCGCGGGTCAGGAGCTGATGGCTGCAGTTTGCGGACTTGAGTTCCAAGATGAGGAGCCCCAGGCAGAACATGGCACCCATCTCTTCCAGTTCGCTGGTCCCGAGCTGCAGGCCCTGGCAGTGAAACAAAGCCATCAACAGTGACTGTCCAATGGGAACTGCATGGAGGCCACGGACATTGGCCAGAAGGATGGCTCGGCACATGTCTATCACAGAAACTGTCCAGTCATGGCCCAGCGTGCTGTGCTGTTGTCCTCTTTGGAGATCCTGGCTTTGAGTGGGGGTCTCCAACCCTCAGATCTGGCCTGAGTGTAGGGTAAAGAAAATATCAGGCTTTTCTGCCCTCCCGCCATCAGGACAGATGATGGATCCTTGTGGTCGTGAATGCATGCCTAATGGCGGGCACCTGGAATAGGGTGTAGGCATAGGTAGATGGGATTCACCTGGGCTAAGACTGTGCTAATTTTTAAGGGCGGCATCATGGGGACAGCAGCAGCAGCAGCAGCAGCAGAAGCTGAGAGAGAAGCTGAAAGAGAAGCCAAGAGCAGAGAAGCAGAGAACGTCGGAGAGCCCAGAGTGAAGAGCCCCTGCCTGCCGTGTACCTGGTAATCCCAATAAAAGACCTGCAAAATCCACTGAGGACTCTGACTCCTCCTTTACCCGGTCTGCATGGGATCAGAAAACCTTCCCTGTGTCCATTCCTGCCCCTACACTGGGTCTCTGTGTTTGTCCCAAGTCCCAAATTATATGCAGATAAGGATTCATATATGCCTGAGAAGATCGACAGAAACTTCTGGCAAAGCTCACTCTTTTCATAAAACTGGACATCACTGAGCACCCTCTACAAACACCTACAGAGGGAAGAGGGCATACCCATAGCCAAGCACTGTCTTTAAAATAGTGGCATTCTTGGGCCTCCCCGGTGGCGCAGCGGTTGAGCGCTGGGTTGCGAAGCTGCCCGCGGCCTCTGCGGCGCCGGTTCGATCCCCGGCTGCTCCCCGGCCACCGGAGGAGGATCCCACATGGTGCGCAGACCTCTCCTGCCGCCCGCTGCTCCCCTCAGCAGTGTACTTCAGTCCTTCTGCCTGCTCTGCTCCCCACTCTGGCTCTGGTGAATTCTCTCACCCTCCCACGCTTCTGACTGTACCCAGTGCTTGTATAAACAAAAACAAACAAACAAACAAATAAAATAAATAAATAAATAAAACATGCCTCTATAAAAAAAAAAAAATAAAATAAAATAGTGGCATTCTTAATACTCGTGTTTTTTTATGAAATAGGTTTACTAGCAGAAACAAGAAAAATCTGTGACAGTTTTGATAATGTCCTCAGGAAGAATCAAGACAGGAGATCAGGAGGAGCTTGGATGAAACTGTATCATTAAATAGAAAATACAATTTGTAAATTAAAAGCCAGATGGAGAGAGTTAAGGCTGTTCAGTGCAGAAAATAAAATCATCATGGAGAAGACAACCTTGAGATATTTTCTAATATCACAAGGAAATAAAAGATTAAACTGGTGAATTAAATGTACATAAAATTAAATATATAAAAATGTAGAACAGATTTAAAGAGAAATCATCTACTCCCACTTGGAATTTCAGACTCACGATCAATATAATATTCGTGACAGAAGCCAAGAAGGTAGAAAAAGAGGGGAAAAGAGATGAGGAGGCGGATGAAGTAACTATATTTTTAAGAAATCTGATTCTGCAGATCCAACAGCCTCACCAAATGTATGAGCTATAATTAATGAAAGAAACAAAAAAAGTATCCTGATCCTAAAATAATACAAAATCAAATAGCTTAAAACTTGCTCACACTACTAAATACCCAAAACAAAGAAGTAACTTGTACAAATTAATCAAGAGCATTGTGCCTTAAAAATGTCATTTTTGTGTGCAGGCCTTAGGAAGATAAACCCAGGAAAGAGGAAGCACTGAATACAAACCACACATGGATAAGAAAATGATTCATGGGCCTCCCCGGTGGCGCAGCGGTTGAGCGCTGGGTTGCGAAGCTGCCCGCAGCCTCTGCAGCGCCGGTTCGATCCCCGGCTGCTCCCCGGCCACAGGAGGAGGGTCCCACATGGCGCGCAGACCTCTCCTGCCGCCCGCTGCTCCCCTCAGCAGTGTACTTCGGTCCTTCTGCCTGCTCTGCTCCCCGCTCTGGCTCTGGTGAATTCTCTCACCCTCCCGCGCTTCTGACTGTACCCTGTGCTTGTATAGATAAATAAATAAATAATCTTAAAAAAAAAAAAAGAAAAAAAAAAAAAAAGAAAATGATTCATAATTTCTTTTAAGATATAGCATAGGGCCTCCCTGGTGGTACAAGGGGTTAAGTCTCAGGACTATCAAGCTATCACCAAGCACTGTGGCATGAGTTTGATCTATTTCTGAACATAATAACTTTATATATAGAGAGAGATTGGCTATCTCAGTGTGTATATGTATATATACATATATATCTTAGTGTATATAAACATATATAGCTTAGTGGAGATAAAGGATAGATGATATATAGGTATAGACTGATCAATAGAGTAACTGTAAAAGTTATTTATGTTCAAAAATAGAACTATAAAAAATAATTACATAATGTGATCTAGAGTCATTTAACCTGGCAGAGCCTTCATTTTCTCATTCCCATCTGTATAATGGGAATGATATCAACAATAAAGTTAACACCCATCTCATCAAGCTGCTGGGATAACTCAGTGAGTTATGGTTCATTATGTATTATATATAAATCACATATGATTGTGATATAAATTTGCATATGCACATAATACAAGTATTTATTATTACCAATAATAGTAGTTTGTATGAAATCAAGAGTCAAAGTCATACTTGACATAGAAAGTTTTTTTAAGACTATGACCAAGACCTGACCCCCGTCACCACTATTATTTACCATTATTTGACAAGTTCCACACAATTCAAGACGAAAAATGAGCCATCCATATTTGAAAGGAAGGAATCACATTATTATTATTTGAAGACTGATTATGTACTAAAACAAACCAAAGGAATCAACTGAATCTGAAAATCTATTAGATATAAGGCAAGAATTGAGTAAGTAGACAGGTTACAAATTAAATATACAAAAATCAATTTTCTTTCTATAAAGCAGCAAAATAAATTATTAAGTATAATAAAAGTTCCCTTCACAATAGCAACACAACTATAAAATATGTAGGAATGGAATTAATAACACCCCAAGGTTCATGTGATAAATCCCAGGACCTTACCAGAGATAAGAAGAAAAATTTAAATAAATGAAGAAATATGCTGAATTCTGAAAAGCAAGCCCGATACCAGATAATATCCATTCTCCTCATATTAGTCTAAAGCAGCATAGGAAATCTAGACACCCATGGGGATTTGCAGACCTGGCAAGCTAATTCTACCTTTGAAGAATTCAGGGTAAAAATATCCAAGAAAAATTTGGGAATAAAGTTTAAAAATGAATAATGAGGATTTTCCTTTGCAGACTGGCAAAAGGCCTTGTGCAATGACAATGATTAAATATTATGCAATTGACACACACCATGGCAGGCAGGTCAAGGTAAGAACACAGGAAGTACCAAGGACCCTGGGATATGCAAAGGTTTGCATATGACAAAGGTGCCATTCAGTGCACCAGAAAGTGGACCATGATGAAATAAAACAAAAACGATTAATATTTGAGGAAAAATTCCTATCATGATTACAAAATTATTTCATTTTGATTAAAGAGTTAAATGCTCCAAAAATTGAATGATTAAAAAAATACAAAATCCTATGTTTTATCGTCTCTCAACTAGTAGGTCTATTAATGCAGATCCTCGAAGAAGAAACCCTAGGGAACTCCCTGGTGGCCGAGGGGTTAAGTCTCAGCACCATCACCTCTGCAGCCTGAGTTCAATGCCCAGCCAGGGAGCTGACCACATGGTGCAGCAGACCTCTCCTGTCTTTCCTGTTGCTCCCCTCAGCAGTATGTTTCAGTAGATCTGCCTGTTCTACTCCCCACTCTGCCCCAGTTCTCCTATATTCAAATATTTGATAATGACAAAGGGCAAAGGAAAAGCAGACTAGGCCTATTTCTGCTTCTTGAGTGCCTGCTAGCTCCTTCACCAGAGGTTCTTTAGGGTCCCCTTAATGTCTTGGGTCACATGCCTGCCCTGGTTTCTTTTTTTTTGGGGGGATAAGCATCTTGTAACCTAAGGTCTAATAAAGATATAGCAACAAGAAATTGACCCCCCTGGTAGTATCCCCAGAAACCTGTATGCTCAGCCTCTTTACAAAGCACCAGCGTGAGTTGAGAGACATGACTTAGAGTTCTGAACAAGTTTGAAGGGGCTGCGAGCTGAATTATGTTCATCTGCCATCTGCCTTCATGTGCACCCAGCACAGGAGTTTAAACCAAGTCCACCAGCCTTGGGCTCTAGTAGGTGGCAGAGCAAACAGTGAGGGGCCACGGGTGGGCTCTCAGCTTCTCCACTATCGACCCTGTCAAATGGACTCTAATGCTTGCACGCTGAGGACTGAATCAATCACCGAGCAAGTTAGTGTCTCTGCAGGATCCACATGATGGGCCCCTCTGTGCAAAGCCCATCTGAGTCCACCCTTTCGGCCAAAGCTTCCTAACCCCTTACTGACAATTGTTTCCTTAGAAACTGCAAAAAGACCCAGCATTCAGCAGAACATCAGGTTGAAGGTGTGTGCTGGATGATACCTGCCCTTGATGTCCATGCAGAACTTGCCCTGGGTCTTTACTGGTGCATCTGTACCTAGGCCACAAATGCCACAGAGGATGGCAAAGGCCCCTGTGATTGCCTTTCTGCAGCTTTCTGCACCACAGGTATGACGGCAAATATGAATCAATCAAGACTGTCTCTGAGATAGCCCGGAGCTTGAGCACAGAGCAGAATCGTAGTGAGTTTAACTCTCCATTTTATAGACGCATAAAATGGCCCTGCTTTATACACAGAGTTATGTAGCCAAGTGCAAGGAGAACTGGGGTTCCAATAAATACTCCCCTGACACTAACCAAATGTCCATGTCAATACACAGACTTTAAACTTCACATCTTTGTTGTTAAAAGCTTTGGAGATCTGGAAGTCATCTATTCTTA